TTTGTAATTATGAAGTTGATTAATGAAATATAATAAAGTTATGAAATTGGTTAATCAAGTAATTTTGATTTTGTACTCATTCAATAGAAAAAAAAAAGATTAATAAAAAAAAATTTATTTTACTTTTTAAAAAAAATATTATAATTTTTACTAGTCATTATATAAATAAATAGTGAAACACAGTATAAGGGCGTGTTCGATAACTTGGTTGGCATTGGGATTAACTGGTTAACAGTAATATTTTGACGTAACATCGTTATTGTCAAATGTGATTGAAAACCTTGCCCCTTTCTTTGCAATTTATTCACATTTGGATATTGCAAATGTGGCCATTGATAAACATTTACATTGATAACAAGGTTTGCAAATATTGCGTAAGAACATACTTAAAACATAATAAGTAGTAGTGACTGAGATCGGAAAATCTTATTCAATTTTTTTTTTTAAGATCGAAAGGGAGAGGCAAAATTGTAAAAGATAACATTATAATAAAAATCATAAGATAATATTAAAGTTTTTTTAGATGATATTTTCGTAGGCAAGTATATTAGTGAAAAAATAGTCTCCGTCGAATTGTAATTGTGATACCTCGACATCTTGTTATCCTTCTCGACATGTAATGGTGGTGGCCGGAAAACATCCGATCATGGCCGGAACAGACCAAGATTACACATAATCAATGAATTTATGATTTTTCTTTTTTGTTTCACAATTTGTCTACTATACGCCATTCTAATTAAGATCGGAAACGTTAAAGAATAGTAAGTTTGCAAAAACATAAAATTTTTGTTGCTGCAAGGTAATGAAGTGGGAGAAGAATGAACAAAATAATAACAAGACTATTGTTGTATATTAAAATAGAGGAGATAAAATTGAGTACAATATGGATAGTCTAGTATAGCATATTTATACTAAATATTGAAAATGTCAAAAGGCCCTATTAAAGATAAGCATTGGAAATTGTAGACATTAACTAAATTATATTTCCAATACCATCCCTTAATTTAGATATTCTATCAGAAGCTAACAACACCAATTTCATCTCTCAAGCGAAGAAGTTGATCTGTCTTAACTGCCTTTGTCTGATTCTCTGTGGTCTTTGAGCTTGTTCTGAAGCTGCACCAGAACTACTACCTTCAGAGTTACCACCTTCAGAGTTTTCCCTTTCAGAACTATGATCACCACCAGATTCTGGATCATCATCAGCATCTGGATAAGAATCAGATCCATTGTCAGAATCTTCTTCTGACTCATCTTCAAAATCTTCAGAATCAGATTCATCTTCTGAACTTTCTAAAACATCTTCAGAGGTTAACTCTGGTGTTGACACTACACCAGAATCTGATTGAGACTTGTTCCAATTCTATGTTTCAGACTCTTTCACCACAACGTCTCTGCTGACTTCAACTTTATTAGTTTCTGGACAATAAAGCTTATACGCACATGTACTGTGGTACCCCACCAGCAACATTACTTTGCTTCTATCATCCAGTTTTTATCTTCTAGCTTCTGGAACGTGTTTGTAACAGACAGAACCAAACGCCTTCAGATGACTGTCACTCAGCTAATCTCCAGTTCATTTTTCTAAAGGAACAACTTCCTTCAGCTTCTTCGTTGGACACCTGTTCAGAATATATGTTGATGTGGCAACAGCTTCTCCCCATAGCACGTGAGGTAGCTTTTTCTCTTTCAGCATGCTTCTGGTCATATCAAGCAAAGTTCTGTTTCTTCTTTCAGCAAGACCGTTGTGCTGAGGAGTATATGGAACAGTAACCTCATGTTTTATTCCATTCTCCTCACAGAATTTCTGGAACTTTGTAGAGTTATACTCACCTCCACCATCCGTTCTCAGAATCTTCAACTTCTGACCACTCTGCTTCTCAGCCTTCACTTTGAACTTATGGAACTCAGTAAACACTTCATGCTTGAACTTGATGAGTGTTACCCATGTCATTCTTGTGAACTCATCCACAAAAGACACAAAATATTTGTTTCCTCTAAGTGAGGGTACTGGAAATGGTCCACACACATCACAATGTACTACTCCCAGAGCATGCTTCGCTTTGGGGGCTACTTCTGATGCAAAGTGCAATATGGGTTTCTTGCCTTTCATGCATATCTCACATGACTTCTCAGGCTTCACAATCTTAGAAATACCATGTAAAAGTTTCTTAGAACATAGATGCCCTAGGCTTCTATAGTTCAAATGCTCTAATCTCTTGTGCCACAACTTACTGTCACCTTCAGTGCCTTCTACACTAAGACACGTTGCTTCAGCTGTTTCTACATTCACTTTGAAAGTTCTGTTGCTTCCTTGTTCAGACTTCATAATCAACTTCTGATTAGAATCATACAGAGCCAGGAGATTGTTTTTCATGACAACTGAGAAACCTTTCTCAATCAGCTGACCCACGCTCATCAGATTGCTTCTAATACCAGGAACATACCAAACGTCTTTGATCAGAATGTCTTTCCCATTCTTTACTCTAACTCTGACATCTCTCATACCTTCTGAATTAAGATACTTATCGTCAGCACATCTGATATTTGTTCTTCTTCTGGAGTCAAAGTCTGTCAGCCATTCTTTGTTTCCAATTAAGTGATTTGAACAGCCAGTGTCCATATACCACCAATCTTCTAAGCATTTTCCATCAGAATCAAAAGTCATTAGTAGCACAGGTTCATCATCAGAGTTTCTTTTAGCCATATACACTTCTTATGATTTCCTTTCCTTGTTTGACCTACAATCTTTGGAAAAATGGCCAAATTGTTTACAAGAGTAACATTGAACCTTCCTTTTGTCACACCTCTCCTTTCCTTTATGATATCTCTTATCATCAGAAGTTGAGGTTTCTGACTTCTGGAATCTATCACCACGTTTATTCTGCTTCTGGTCTTTCTTGACAAAAGAAGCCTTCATAGCTTGCTCAGCTTCCCTTTTAGAAGTTCTCACAGACAGACGTAACTCTTGTGCTTCTAAACTGCTTTGCAATTCTTCTATTCTCATGGTTTCTAGATCTTTAGAATGTTCAATAGAAACAACAATGTAATCAAACTGAGGAGTAAGAGACCTCAGAATCTTCTCTATGATTACCTGTTCAGACCGAGTTTCTCCACGCACTTTCATCTCGTTAGTGATCAGAATCACTCTGGAGATATATTCAGAAACTTTCTCACTGCTCTTCATGTTCAAGTTCTCATATTGCTTTCGCAGGGATTGAAGCTTCACCTTTTTTACTAATGCATCACCACCGTAACATCTCACCAGTAAATCCCACGCCCCTTTTGACGTTGTTGAATCATCAATCTTCTCAAACACACATTCATCCACACACTGATGGATATAGAATAGAGCTTTCTGGTCCCTCTTCCTCATAACCCTCTCAGCAGTTCTTTGTTCTTCAGTTGCATCTGCTGAAACTGGTACATAACCATCTGTAATCAGATCCAGGACATCTTGCGCACCAAACAACACACGCATTTATATCATCCATCTGTTCCAGTTTTTGCCATTAAAAACTGAGAGTTTGGTGTTCAAACTACTGCCTCCACTCATTTTAAACCTTGCACAAATTTTTCAGATTTTCACACACACTGTTTCCCAACCCACAGAATCGGATTCTGTTCAGATTTTGTTCAAGATTTCAACAGAAAATCAATTAACCAAAACCAAACACACAGCTCACAATCACTCGTGTTTCTCAAGAAAAACAGAACCAAGTGCTCTGATACCAATTTGTTGGTGCAAGGTAATGAAGTGGGAGAAGAAGAATGAACAAAATGATAACAAGACTACTGTTGTATATCAAAATAGAGGAGATAAAATTGGGTACAATATTGATAGTCTAGTATAACATATTTATACTAAATATTGAAAATGCCAAAAGACCCTATTAAAGATAAGCATTGAGAATTATAGACATTAACTAAATTATATTTCCAATAATTTTAAGATCTAGATTGAGATCTTAACAATCTTTTTTTATTTAAAAAAATTATAAATAAAAATATGTTACAATTTTAGTGCTGGCACTTAATACCATATTTTAAGGTTCTTGATTGCCTGAATAAGTTCACATATTCCCTAGAATTGTATTTGGAGATCAAAATTAACTAGCACTTAATATGTAAAGTCTTCCTTGTGCCAGCAGAGGAAGGAAACATGTTTTCTTTTTCAATATGTTGTTGCAGGCTCCATTACATCATCATCTTGGCTGCAAGGTCGGGCGTAGTGTAAAACAGAAGAAATTTTGCATTCTTTGGTTGGATTCCATGGCCGCTTCCTAACTTAGTATGAATACATTCAGAGCCATCTCTTGGAAGTCTTGCGTAGATTAGCCGCAATTTAACTATAGAAAAATAAGTAGATGTCATATTTAACCAAGATTTAAGTATCACAAATATTTTATGAAACTCTATTTTACTACGATTTAATCCATGAGTAAAAGCTCAATCCTCGTATTAATTCACTAATTAAGCACTTAAAAATTTCAGTAAACTGGTCAACAACCAGAACAAACACAAACTTCAACCTTGTAAAATCAATACATTTTCCTTAGAATCATAAAATCAGCAAGTTGCAATATACATCTATACTTCCTCCATTCCTTTTCTCTTGATCTTTTAGAATTATGATTTTGTTCTAAAACTATCGATCTTTTCGAAACCAAAAACTCAATGAATAATCAAATTAGAGTGTTTTAGACAAAATACATATTACAAAACAGTGATTTCTTAATTTATATGCCCGAACCTTAAAAATCAAAATTTAATGAATGGAGTGAGTTTATAGGAATGCTAGATCAAAGGAAATAGAACCAAAAATGAAGAGCACCATCGATGTTGAGAATAAGAATATACATCCTGGAATTTATTAAACAAAAGAAGAAACAACAAAAACATATAAAGAAAATCACTTTCTTCACTGTTGAAAGTTATAGCCTTCTAAACAAGAGAAAAGCAATACCTAAAAATGTTGACTTGACACCCATGCATTCCATTTAATTTTCTAGTTCCCGTGATTCAATGATAACTTGTTTGATATGTGATATCTTGGACCAATCCTGTCCAACTTTAGGCTGATATCTTCTGCATAATCCAGGACACCCTTTCATTTTTAAATATTCAAGGTTTGTGAGGTGATGCACATCATCGGGGAGTGAAAGTAGCCCTGGACAATTTTCGATTGAAATTGTTTTTAGACAAAACAGACTTGACAACCACATAGGAAGCTCATCAAGATTGTCACAATCAACAATTACCAAGGACTGTAATGTCTCCGCACATCCTCGTAACCACTGAGGAAAAGTTGCTAGCTGGGGCAAAGATTCGAGATACAATAACTTTAACCTCAACTTGGCAATTTGGTTGTCATCGTGGCCCATTGACAGTTTCAACTTATTGCAGCCATCAATAGACAAACTCTCTAAGTTTGGAATAACGTGAAGAGGCACATATTTCAGACTCCGACAAGAACCAATGTCCAAATATTTAAGACTAGGGAGTTCTATTCCTTCAAACAATGACTTCAATTTGTCACAAGAAACAAGAGTTAATATTTCCAGAGAAGTCAACTTTGCAATCTCTTTGTCTGGAAATTTACTTTGCCTTGTGGTTATATGTAGTTGTTGAAGGCTGATTAGGTTTCCTATTCGGTTGGGCAATTCTCGTAGCTCTGTGCATCCACTGAGATTCAAATTTATTAAATTTTGGAGTTTGCACACTGAATCCGGGAGGCTCTTGAGTTCTTCATTATCTTCAAGATTAAGATATCGTAAGTGTTTTAACTTACCAATGGAGTGAGGCAAGCTCTCATATCCAGAATTATTTATTTTCAAAACCCGCAAGTATTTGCATGTTGAGACCAGAGTATTCAAGAAAGCTTCATCGTTGACTCCGAGAGGAAAAAGTATGGTTCTCAAACCTAGAGGAAAGTCGGTTTTTCCAAGCAAATGGCTTTTAGTATACGACAAATGTAAGGCATTTTCAGATATGTTTTCACTAGGGGAGCTCAACAATTGAAACTCATCTCTTGAAACATACAATGCAAGATCGTGCACTAAATCGTGCAATTTGAATTTGTAAGCACTGCCATAGTCAATAAAATCTTGAAGAAAAGATCTTGACTGCAACTCATGTAGATATTGATTGCCAATATCTTTCAAGGTTTCACCCTTGTGTGGAGAATGAAGAAGACCAAGTGCTTCCCAAAGTACAATAGTATGAAAACTGTTGAATTGAAAGTCTTTCTCAAAGAGGGAGAAGCAAGCAAAACATCTTTTCAAATAAGAAGGTAATTGATCATAACTTAACTTGATAGCATGCAAAATGTCATCTTCTTTTTGTGGCAAATTCCAAATCTCGTTGTCTCTCACAAACATCCATTCTCGTATATCGACTTTTAAGAAAAGTGAACTCCCTAATGTTCTTAGCGCCAACGGAACTCCTCCACATTTATCAACAATACTTTTTCCAATCTCTACCAATTCAGGATGCTTGGTTTGCTCTCCTTCTTTGAAAGCCCATTTGTACAACACAGACAAGGAATCCTCTCGAGAAAGACCTTGCAAATCAATAGACGACGAGTGAGTCCCCATCATCTCAGCAACTTTAAGGCTACGCGTCGTCACTATGACTTTACATCCTTGACCACCAATTTGAATTAAATCTTTCAACTCTTCCCATTTGACACGATCCTCGTTCCATACATCGTCCAACACGAGTAAGAACTTTCTACCAGCAAGTGCATTTCTTACTTTATTTCGTAGTTGCTCCGTATCAAAGTTTCTACTATTCTCGTGGTGATTTTGGTTAGGAACAGAATTGAAGAACTTAACAACCAGATTCTGAAACTCAAAATCATTGGATACACATATCCACATCTTGAATGGAAAAAACTCAACTACACTCTTATCATTAAACACAGCTTTTGCAAGTGTAGTCTTTCCCAAACCTCCAATTCCTACAATAGTAACAATAGATAGGTTTTCATTACAAGTATCATCCAATAATAGTTTCACAATTTTGTGTTTATCTTTCCCCCTTCCTATAACATCAGAATCATTTACACCGGAATGAGTTTCGCGCCTTTGCACAACACGGTTATCGTGTTCAATGATTTGAAGGCCAAATTTATTTCTAATTTTCGCAACTTTATCGAATTTTTCTTTGATATCTTTGATACGATGCGCCATTCTAATGCGACAAACAATAGGATTTGAACTCGAAACAAAATGCCTCACCTTCCTTCTCGCGCTACCGGAAGTGTTGACGACTTGTTTCCGCAGTGCCTCGCATTGGAAATCGTCGATAACGTCTTCCGCGGTTGATAAGATGTGTTTAATCTGTTTCAACCATTCGCGAAGCGAGTTGTTTTGGTTCTGCTTTTGTTCAGCATCCAGCAACACTGCTTTGATGAATGAAAGTTTGGCTTCGATCTCATGCAGATCTTGTTTGACTCCGAGAGCTAGAGATAGTTCTTCGGCGGCAAGAGAAGCGAGTTTGTCGATGAAGAACTGTGCGGTTCCGAAGAGATAGGATGGATCCATGTTCTTGTGGAGAAGGATGAAAGGTTTCAGTCTTCAGATGTGGAGAAGAAGCTGAGACAAAATTGTGGACATGATTTGGTCAATCATAAGTCGTTACTCGATACTTAAATATCAACTATTGCAATTTTTATATTTTGGCTAAATTGCAAGGATACGAGCTTCACCTTAATTATCTCATGGAACATCAACATGGCCAAAATAAAAAGAAATTACTTGCCTTTAAAGAAAGTGAAGCTAAAAATGGTGATAATATTTATTCTTCTTACAATATTCTAACACCATTTCCTTGATTTCCAAAAACACCAACAATTATGTTACACTTTGAATCACCCTTATTCAAAGGAATTTTTCCAACAAATAGAACGACAACCCTTCCTATTTGTAAACATTTGAGTATAGATAAAATTTTCAATAGACATGATAATACTTGAGAGTTTTGTTGCTCTTCTGATATATTAAAATGTTAATCTTTTTCTTCAATGAATAAATTAAGATGATATAAACACTTAAGTACTCAAGTGTTTTCGTTAAACTTTTTCACATGTGAATGAATATTACGCAGGAAAAAGTTTCTCTATTAAATATTACTGACACTTGAAAACATATGAAAATTATTCATGAAGAAGGTGTATTTGAAATTAAAAAATTCTTCTATTTATAGTGCACCAAATACCTCAAGGAAATCCGAAACAATGGTTGAAAAGTACAACACACGAAGGTTTGGAGTAGATTGGTGATATTGGAAGATTCAAGAAGCATGAATCGAGTAAAGATTACACAGAAGAGTTTGACATTAAGTTGTATACAAGTCTAGATTCAAATAGGAGATTTTATATTTCTCAGCATTATTGTGGATATTTGATTGTATGAACTCTTGTAATATTTGTCAAAATAAAAAGGAACAATGAAAGTTTCAATGGAAAACAATTGAAGAATGCACGTAGGCAAAGCGAGGACGAACGTCGAAGCACTATAAATCTTGGTGTATTCGTTCTCTCTCTTTTACTCTTGCGTTTAATTTTCATAGAATATTGCATGCTTAGATTTTTAATTTTTAGAGTAGTTTTTGGTTTATTCCATTGGTAGAGATTTATTACGTAAGGTTAAGTTTTGTTATAATTGGAACTTAATCGAGCTTTAGTGGTGATTAAATTCTGAGAAACTGTTGAGTTTAGAATTCGTTGAAATTCAATCGTTGTATAAACACATCTCATGGAGTATACAGATTAATCAATTGAGTACCATTGGGCATTATAATTAAATCTCCTTTGATATTTGTTAAGTGTTTAAGTGTTAATGTGACATAACTTCAATAAAAGTATAATTCTCATATTTTCGCTCTAAAATCTTCCGTGCGCAAACTCTGAAAAATCTTTGACAATCTATTTTTGGAAAATCGTTTGAATTTTTGTTTAAGTATATTCACCCCTTATAGACTATTTTCTTACTCCACATTCTCAACTAAAAATTTACTTTAAGAGTTGGTCTTTTGATTAAGTTTAATCTACTCCAAAAGTTTTGACAATATGACGGACGATGACGATTCAAAGGGAGCATATAATAGAGTGTCGATTTTCAAAGGTAAAAATTATACTTATTGGAAAGAGAACATGAATGTACACTTACTATCAATTGAAAAACAATATATGGCGTGTCATCACCGAGGGACCACATACCCCTAAGGGCGATAATGACATTGTCAAACACCCAAAAAATTGGGATAATAATAAACCAAAAAGGCTTCATATGTGTATTATCCAAAAAATTGCAGGTGTACGTGAGTTCTCCCTGCAAGTGCAGGAAGACTCATTGGCCCTAACAGGTATATTACACATTTGAGGGTGATGGCTAGCTCACATAAACAAGTAGCCTTGTATGGTGGTTTTTGAGGCTGTTTAAGGGACTGACTCATGTGAGGTGAGAGGCATTGCTGGTGTCCAGCACTATCGGGTCGCAGACGGGTGGTTGGAGTTATGTTGTTAGGGTTACTCAGAACATATTTATCTCTGAGTGGTGTTTAAATATGTGTAAGTGTGTGTTACTTGAGAGAATCCCCCTTTCTTCCAATATGAGAGAGTTATTTATAGAGGTCTCTTGGGCTTAGACTAGTGATCTAATTAGTGCTTTACCCTAGCTTTTTGACCGAAGAATGTGGTCATGGGAGGACTTGATCTCCTTGGATTGAGGAAAGAGTGGTTCTTCCCTTTGACTAGCCCTTTGCCAGTTAGCCATTGTGGGTTCACGTTATCACCTATGTTTACTGGGAGAGTGGACAGTGGGAACCTGCCTCGGGAAACCTCGAGGCCCCTTTTGGGCAACTTCCTGGTCCTATTCGGGGGGGAGCAGTGGCTTTTCTCGGTGTCTCACCCCTTGCCCCATTGTTTTTACCAAAGTGATGACACTCTATCATTACATATATTCTATCGAAGAAGCGAAAAAAACCGAGCTAAATATCACTTAGTTTGATGAAGAAAAGCCCAAGAGAGGAGCAAAACAGACAAAGTATGAAGAAATAAATACTTGAGGAAAATCTGGCTGAAATGGGGAAAACGTGTATCAGCATTGGAAAAATTGTGCAGCATCGCATGTGCGATACTGAATAAGCTAGAACGTGTGCCAGCTTCTGGAATAGTCACGCATGCGTCGCGCCCAATCGCGTGCGTTATGGGCTTAGATTAGTAGCATCATGTGCGCGAAGCAAACTAACATGCACGCGATGGGCCTTTTTCTGGGCAATTTTCTGACTTGTTCTGGCACTTGCTGATAACTTTAAAAAGGGGTTTTACGCGTTTTTTCAAGGGTTCTGCAATTCTTACACTGCAAGTATGATTCTACAACACTGGAAGGCATGGTTGGAGTGCATTTGGAGCCACTAGAGGACATTTCTTCCAGAGATCTTTTATGCAAACCTCTTATATTTTATTGGTATTGATGTTGAATTAAGTTAGCTCATGTTACAGTTTAATAATGAGCAAGTCATTTTTAATGCATGTGAATGAGCGAAATATGTCAATGACTTAGAAACAAGTTACCATGTTGAAATTGAAGAACGGAAGCAGGTTGAGAAAGCGACAATAGGACTTGTGAACGGCATAAGGAATCCCTTGCGCCTGATATACATTAAGCATTACACATCAAGCTAATGACAGTAAAGAAGCATTGGATGGGAGACAACCCATCGAGTAAGTTTAATTTAAAAAAAAAATCAATTTTATGAAATTTACATTAATCATGCTCTTTGTTACAAGTTTTTCAAAGGATGAAAAAAAAGTAGAATAAGAAAGAGAATAACATAGAAAAAATTGAGAAAGGAAAGCAGAGGAACAATCTGGATCATCATGATGACGTCGTGCGTGAGATATCCTTGCATCGCGCACACGATGTAGGCTATCAAACGTGTGATACTACTTTATCCAGATGGCAACAAACTAACCATTGAGAGCATAACAACCTTGACATCGCGTGCGCGATAAGTCCCAGTTGTAGCGGTAGAAATGTTTAAGACTAAGTTATTGGATTGACTAGACTTATACATATCAAAATAAAAATTGCCACCGCGCTTTATCGTTTCCAAAGGAATCGGAAAAGAGAGAATAACCCAAAAGAGGGGGAAAGATTCTAGGTAAGGGGGTTGGTTATGCAAAGGGAAGGTATTAGAACCCTAAACATCTACGGTACTCCGCAGGAACCTCTTTGAAAAATCTGTATATTTTGGCTATAAAATATTGTATATAAAATAGATTGTGAGGATGAGAAAAAGAAGTATATATATATATATATATATATATATATATATATATATATATATATATATATATATATATATATATATATATATATATATATATATATATATTTTTTTTTTTATGATATTTACACCCACCGTGGATGCGAACCTTTAGTGCCTACCTACCACCTTCCGTGAAATAGGGGATCAGGGTACACGTAGTTCCTCTTTAAAAAATTTGAAACATAAGTGCGTTGGTTAATTTTATGATATAAGACATTATCGTCATTGTCCGTGTGGAAAACACACTTACTACCCACAATCATGAGAAAGGAGACTTTGCATCATCTCAAAGTGGAGGATATGACTTAGATTTAAAAAATCAACAAAACCTCACTCAACACCCAAGTAGAAAATATCTCTCTTCACTATATATTGTAGAAGTATAGTTGTTTGCATCACTACAAGGATTGACAAGAGTCTATTCTTTTGAGAAAAGTTTTGAAGCAAAAGCCAAAGTGGAAAAAATAGTTTAAATGAGATTGATTAGCTTTTAGTCTTCTCACAAAAAATGTCAAGGTATTATTAAATTGATTGAATTTTGGTTAAGAAAATATTTTTGAAAATTCATGGACCTAAGTCCAAGTTTATTATGAAAGTGGTTCAAATTTTTAAAACAAGAAGTGTTTTCAAAAGGAGGGAGAAGATTTTTGAAATTAAAGAAGGTGGGAGGAGATGAAGAGACTATCCTAAAGCATAAGGTAAAAGCTAAAGAAAAGAACCATCTAATCAACAAGAAACCAACACTTGAAATATTGAGTCAATGAAGAATTTCATCCTTTGGATTTGAAACCAAGAAAATAGTTAATAAACCTTTGAAGAATACCAAGCTCCAATTGCATTTAGTCCTCACAAAAGTTGGGCAGAGTAACAACTGTATATAAATGAATTCCAGATTATAGACAAAGTATGTAAAAATAATAACCTGCACACAAAACAAATAAACAACCCAATGTCTTGAGGTAAACCCCAAAAACTCCAGACAAAAATATCAATTAAGGTCACAAGGTCTCCAACATAGGTCAAGGTTTCTACTCTTAAGTCCAAGAAGTCCACCACTCCATAATGCCAAGGATAGTAACCAATTAGTCCAAGTAACATTAAAGTTTTTTTAGGGTTTAACTTGATTATTAGGTATCTTCAAAAATAAATGAAAAGCTCAAGTGAGTAAAATAAAATGACATGAATATAAAGGCTCAAGTCAACAAAGATG